ACATTATGGACCATCCACGACAACAAATTTTTTCCTTTCTTCCTTCTTCGGGCTCCTGAACCAAACCTTCCTTGTATTTCGAGAACACCATTACACACAACTACTGGTCCGGCGCAGGTCGAATTTGAGCAGCGCACTTCCCTCTTATGACGTCTGATTTGAAAATCCGGCGCTGATTTTCACCACTCGGGCTTCTTTTCAATTTCTCGAGAACTTCTTCTGTGGGTAGGTTCGCCAAATTTCACAGATACATAGCTAAAGGTACTAGCCTCCAAATGGTATAGTAGCCCGCTGCTCTATCCCCTTTGCTTTTCTGCCATTCCTCTATATGTCCCGGCACTTTTGAATGGGATGACCTAATACTTTGGAGACAAACCGTCCAGAGGCCATCTGCCTTGGATTTGGACCTACTGCGTCTCTTGTTTGAAACCACTTGGTACGAATCAACACGCTGTCCTGTCCATGCACCTGACTGTTTTAAAACCACAAATGACAGAGGTACTCACTCTCTAAAGAATGTATTGAAGTTCGGTACAAGTTTTCTGCGATACACAAGACCGATACTCAAGGGGAAGGGGAATGTGGGCACTGTCCACAACTTCTCTCCCGCTCCCGCCATACGGACTGGCTGAACAACGACTGTGACTGGATAAGGAGTAGGTGTCTCTGGGTGAACCACTCCCGGAACGCCAATGGCTAGATCCTCCAGGAAGGGAGAACCGGTCGTGCAATCCCATCAATTTAGTAGGAAGGTGGGCGTGTGGTGAACCATTCATGGGGTTTTAAGCGGGGAGTTTCTTCCTCTTAACGCTGAGGTAACCAGCCAGTCCTTCTGTAATTTGACACTGCTCGAGATCTTGAAGCTGCTGGTGAATTCCACCACAGTCTTCGTGTAGCCCTGACTTAGCTCTTTCTGACTGCCATCTAAACTAATCCCTCAGCGGCCATCTTCTGGGTGAAAAATACGATTTTCAAAAGCACCTCAAAAATGACCCGGCTGCCTTTCTCGACACGGAACTAAAAAGCTTCTGGAAGCAAGGCAACCACTCTTTGCCTGGTGGTTGGCAACAAGTTGCCGATGAAGGTAATATTCAGGGGAAGGGGGCAAAAAAGACACTTCGACCGAGTCACATATCAGCAAAGTTCAGCAGAAGTTTCTATGCAGCCGCAGTCAAGAGGGCGTGGATACGAGTACCAGAGGCGGAAGATACCCAAGATGTTCCTCGATAAGCAGGAGCTGGCTCTCGCCCATCACCTTCATGTACACCAAAATATGAAGTCATCTCCAGTCGCAGCCTGACTGGAGAAGACCTTTGGAATTCATGTCACCTCCAAACAGCTGCGAAACTTCTAGTATGGAGTCACCCATGGATAGCTACCTGGAGACCAGTACTCTCGATCTGGAAGACCTCCAACATCGAGCAGCTCCGACAACGTCGCTACGGTCTAGGACATCATCTTCACCCGCAGTCGCCAAGGCGCGGGTTGATGGTATGGACCGGACGTACCTGGAATGGAAAGACCGATATTTTCTTCGTGGACCCGGACTGAAGGTGAGCGCTGGCGCTTACATCGAGCAACTCGAGAAGAATACCCCATATGCCGCCGTCCGTACGCTTCTTTGGAAACGTTGCATACTGGGCTATGAGGAGAGGACTGGGTGAGAGCGAGGGAATCAAAAGGTCGTCGTAAAAACTCGTCGGTACTGGTAAATTGGAAGGGCGGCTTGAGTATGTTAGAAGAAGGATGGAATATCTAAGGCAGGTCACCTGACTGAACTCATCTCAATTACGCTGGCTTCGACGGAGCGGAAATACAAGTAGTCTGGTGAGGGTCCCGAGCAGTGGCGGAGGAATCGGAGGCTATCTTCGCTGAAGGAGGTTGAGGCGGGGAATATTATTCGGTCGGCGGCGGTGCCAAAATCTGGCTGCGATGGCGCTCGGTCGCAGAGACTCTCGGCGTGAGTAATTCGGACAGTATTTGATATGTTCTTTAGTATGATGGTAGAAATGTGCGCCGATCACGAATTCAATAAAGTGTAAAGCAAGGAAGGAAGGTGGCTTGTTTGCCCCTCCCCCTCCTGTATATATTGCTGATCAAAACTGCTTCCCACTGGAGTAAACTTGACTCGGAAAAAATTCGAAAATGTTCACGAATTTGGACAACGGCTAGGATGTTGCAATCATTCGGTCCAAATTAACATTTCCAACCATTTTCGGCGCTAATAACTTTGGCGAAGGGAGGCGGGCACACTCGCTTTTTTATATGTCTCTGGTTTTTTTTTGTGTTTTTTCACAATGATGTCTCATCTTGGGCATTTTTTTTGTTTTTTCACAATGATGTCTCATCTTGCAAGCCCTGTTGATTCGTGTTATGGGCCCCGTAAACTGTTGTCAAGATTGGAGAACTAGTTGCAGCGCTATTGAGAAGCCATTTCTCATTTTTTTTTCCAAATCTTGACCAGCCATTTTGACAAGTTTTACAGGTGTTCACAAGGTGACAGGTGGTAACAAGGTTAACAAGGTGTTGACAAGGTTGTCCGGTATTCACGTGTATACAGTTTATGGATTTGGTATGCTGACCTACGCTTATAGGTGCGACCCTCCCATCGCCCCCTCAAGAGGTTATTGGCGCTTCATTTTCTAAGCGATGATCTATTATAATCATTGCCTGATGACAAAACTTCACAAAGCTTGCCAAGTGGCCATTGATGTATTCGTTCTGTATCGTATGTCACGGCGATGTTTTTGCACCAAATTCCAATAGACGGTATGGAAGTAAGCGAGCCGGAAAAGTTTCGCAGTGTTCAACTATTCGCAAAAAAAACTAACAAATGCTATGCAGCAGACACAATTGAACAACAAATAGCAAACAAAAATCACTTGGCAGCATAAATATTGTTAACAATGAGCAACAATAATCAAAACAATGGGTGTTATTTGTTTATGTGGGCTTCTGATTCCAGCTCGAACTCACGGTATTCGATTGTGAACACGGTTTTGGCACGAGTCCAGCATCACAATATCGTTGGTATCAGGTACGAAAATTTTATCGATTTACTTTTATCTCTTGGAATTTGTCTTCCTTTTTCACTTTTGGAAAGGATCATCGGAGAGTTGAGGGAGGGCTAAGGGATCTGAGTTACAGTGAAACACATAGCCCGATGAGATGAGATGTGTATGTATCTGTTAGCCAGTTTGCTCGGCCCATTTTCATATACAGCCATGCAAATGATCCAAAGGGCGATGAAGGGGCATGAATTGAAAGGCAGCTAAGGCAACTTTCCCATCAATTGTTGCGGACTGTGGGTGGAAAAGGCCGCCCTAACTATGGACCAACCCACGGCCCATTACACGCCCTATCATTTGCAAGTATCCTAACAAATACAGTCGCGCAGAAGCGGCAAGGATCGGTGGAAAACGGGCTATTGTGCGCCAAAATCCACGCTCCGTTTACACGCCCCGACTGGCTTCAAAGATAATGAATGCAAGTCTTCGGTTAGTCTCAATGTTCATTTCGGCACCCATTGCCTAGTCGCTTTCCCCTGCGGTAACAACTCAGATTTGTTTCTCTGCACCCTCCATCTGATGTGTGCGATGTCTCATTGGCCTCATGTAGGATAGAACTGGTGACCTCGTAACAAGACATGTGTTAATGGAACATCTCTCCACTCAACTATACCACTATTCAGGTACTCTATCAAGTGGGTGTCTTCGTCTCACGTTCCTCCATAAATGTTGTACAGCTGAATATGCTTTTCATAGCTCTGCTGCCCGTCTTCCAGGTGATCAACTTCGGAATTTTGATGGGAAATGCGTATTGATTGATAGCATCAATATAGTAGTGATTGATTATTCGGGCTGCATGACTCATTTTTCAGCTTCTCAACACAGTTTTCTTCATGTTGAACGCTATTTATGCATTTATTCCGAATTTCGCCATGGTCTGCACTATCGTCCTCTATGAAGGTCTTATCGGAGGCGGATCCTATGTGAACACGTTCCATCATATTCACAAGAAGGTGAGCATTGTTGACGTTTCGTTAGTGCAGTTGGGAGGAGCACACTTAACAAAGGGAATGGGCCACTCCCATTTTCTACCCATCTGCGCCCTCTCGCTCAAATAGCACGTGATGGCTCTATCAATAATGACGAGAGCGTAGACGAGCAGAGTATAGGCACGCTCTAACATGGTACTGTTGTCGCCCGTTGACATTTACTTTCACAGTCGAGTACGAGACAGGGGAGGAACCCCCTTGCCCCCCCCCCCTCTCCTGGTCGAAAGAAGGTCAAGACAACTGTGATTTGCCACTCCGTTGCGCGCGGCGATGGGCGCGGCGGTTTCATAGGTTGCACGAGCCTGTTAATTGGATCACCGGGTTTTCATGTAGACTCCAACTGTCGGGGAAGAGCTGAGCCGCGCTGCACTGGTGGCTACGAACAGCGCTGCGGTTCGATGACGGTGAATCAGCTGATTTCGATGGAATTCGGCTGCGAATTCCCACTTTTTTAGCTCTTCAAGCTTCGAAAGTGGGAAGGGCCTCGGTGAGTCATTTGAACAATCTTTAAATTGTACTGGCTCTAATTTCTTAATTTTTATGTTTATTATTATGCTATTTTCCTTGTATTTTGCCTTATTTCAGGCATTTATTCAAATGGCTTGCATTCTTTAAGATTCATTCAGAGGCCAGTACAATTTGAGATTGTTCAAAAGTAACTCGCCGAGTTCTCGTAGCTTCGACAGAGCTAGAAAAAGTGGAAATTCCGCAGTTGAATTCCACACATTGTCAAAGCTTGGGAGCTGAAAGAGTGGGAATTCGTAGCCGAATTCCATGGGAATAATCAGCTGATTCGCGTCACCGAGCCGCAGCCGCTGTCGCGTCACAGTGCAGCGCGGCTCAACCGCCCCGACAGTCCGCAATGAATGATTGACTATAGCGTAAATGCAGTTTTATCACTATTGCTGCATCGGCGACCGAAACATCACCATGCGAGAGCGACGTCGCGCACCACCCACCAGCGGCGGCGAATTACGATTGTCTTGTCGCATACCCCCACCTCCCCCACACACCCAGCGACTAGGGAACGCTTATAGGTGGAGGGCACTTGATATAAACCGAATCTCCAGAATGACCGCCGATCCCTCCCAGGCGGTAAACAGGAAGGACGCACTAATGAGAAAAACAGAAATGGTTATGTCTCCGCTCGATAAGCACCAAGGACCATGCCTTTACAAAATGTCCATTGTGGTGTCCCTCCCGAGGATAGCCTAAATGAAAGCTCTGTGCTGCACTCTCAATTCCACACACCAACTGACGCGAAAAGTCAGACTAATACATACATTCAAGCTCCTTCGCATTATTGTCGCATGAAAAATACTGTTGTTCCTTTCCAGATCGATCCTGAGGTTCGCTCATTCGCTCTTTCAACTGTTTCGTTGGCAGATTCGGTCGGAATCCTTCTGGCGGCCCTCGCCTCCATACCGATTCACAACGCAATTTGCGCCATGCAATGGTATGGATAGATTGCGTCCGGCATTTCCTCGAGACCAGCACCACTTCAATTTCGGGTCAAGCACGGGCTGCTCAAGGCCATTTTCTAGGCCAGCACCTTAACTATGTCATTAGTTTTGAAGTCGAGCACATATTTGTAAGAATAAGTCAGTTTCTTTCTCTATGTTATATGTCTGTATTAGTGCTTCGCACTAGTACGTATCGATTCAGTGCGTAAAACTGGAGGTTCTACTCGAAGGCAGCGCGTGCACACCTCGCGACCCGATCACCTAGATCGCGCGATCGGATCGGGCGAACTATGACACGACTGCAACCGTTAACGACTATATTGTGAAGATATGTCACTCCTCATTGTTTCTCTAAGTTAGCTGGTTGGAAGGGAAATAGTTTATATGAAAGAAGATTTTTTATCATATCAATCGAATCTGGTCTGAAATACCAGCGAGAGGTGCCGGTTGACAGCGGTCGCTCCTTCCCCGTGACGTGGTTAGCCTGCTGCCCAAGGCGGCGATCATCCGCGCTGTCTTCGCTTATCGCTAAAAACATTGCAACCCGTACTCTGTTTCACTGCTTTCACCCCTGCGCGCGTGGGTGGTGTATGTCCAGCGGCGATGTCTGTCGTAAAATAGAAAATTTTTTCGGATTGTTGAAATTGTGTTAGTACAAATATTTCATCTGTTTTGAACGGGCATTTGTACTTATTTTCACATGATTTGCGTTGGCTGCAAATTATCCATTCCAGTCGATAATGATGACTTAACACTTTATAGCTATACAGTGACTGTAATCAAATAAATGTTGCTATAAACTGAAACACTAATGTCAAAGGGCGCAGTTTAGATCCGACTGGGAGGGGCACTTCGCTTTTGTTCGTCATACTTCCCATCGACGTGTCGGCCTATCTAGACAGCCTCTTCTCGAGTTGACAGGTTTTAACATGATGGCTTGACTACCTTGTTCCAGCTTCACAAGAGTTCACAGGTTTCGCCAGAGTGAGACATGTAAACCGGAACTGAGGAAGCAATGATAGTGCAAAATGCCCCCCCCCTGCCCGCCCCCCCCCCGTCAACAAATAGCGCCGTGTCAAAAGTAACCACAGTCCACCTCCGCACGTACAACCACGATCACTCGAAAATCATCAGTTTTTTTCTAGAGTGGCGAGTGAAGTTAAGAATGAGCAGTTATTCAGCTGTCGAAAGCATAAGGAACTCTACCCACGGAATCCCTCAACACCGGCGTGTGTTCAAAATCCTGAATTGAAGACGGGCGCTGTTCGGCGACAGGTGGGGGCATTTTGCAGGTTCGCTGCTCCACTGAATCCGGTTTACAAGTGTGACTCTGGTGAAACCTGTGAACTCTTGTGAAGCTGCAGCAAGCTCGTCGAGCTACCATGATAAAACCTGCCAACTCTTGTAAGCTCATGAAACAGCTCTCTAGATGGCTGGACGCGTCGATGGGAAGTAGCAGAAAGTGCAAAATGCCCCCACCCGTCGCCGATTTGCGCCTTGAAGGCGTTCTGAAGACAGGTATGTGTATTTATATCGTGGACCAGTGCCTTCACCTTTGGCGCCTACTACTGAGCATGCACACGAGTAGTACCGAAGACAAAAAGGGCGGAGTCAGCACACCCTGTGAACATGATTGCTCCTCAACGCCTTTACTACCTAAAAACTTCTGACGCGAAACTCTAGCAATCTGTTCATTTTGACTCCCTTTTCTTTCAGATGAGGGGTTTTGGTTCGTTTGAGTGGAGTAATGCGTGGAATCTGTGTCTTCAGGTCATGCTTATGTTCACAATTTTCGAGTTGGAAAATGGGAAAGAACGAAGAGAACAAGTTTTATTATCGATCGTTGGAGCAACCAACAAGACAATGACTAGAATCGTCACCCTTTTCACAAAGCCTACGGAAAAAAGAGAAAGATAATTAATAAATGCTCCTAGCAATTGACACACTATTAAATACTTAAATGTATAACCCGACGTGAAAAGGAATAATTATTCAAGTGAAAACAATAGTTTCGCAGGATAATAAGGCAGAAAATAACAGGATTGATATGAATTAATGGACTGTAATGTGCGAAAAAACGGGCAGTAAAGTACATCCTATTAGCATGAAAGATGCGTATTGATCGAAGAGTGTGCTTAGCGACCAATACCTATGCTTGGCTCTGCATTTTCGTTGGGCACTTAGCCGTACCACTGCATTGCACAAATAGCATTATGTAATGGAACTGCAGTGAGAGCAGCCACTACAATACCCATGGTGTCCGCCAATGATACGGTGGACAGGGCAAATTCACGTATGGAGGGGTCAATCTGAACAAAGTGCACATTGTAGTATAATTACTGCCTAAAGTAATATCTTTAACAATTGTGTGACGCTAGTCCACTTTCGGCGCGCAGTTTGGTGCAATAGTTCGTCGGATTACCGTAATCTCAAATTTTAGGCTAATGCCGTTTGGACTCCAAAAATTTCGGCACCGAGCCCATTTTTAATTTGCCTAAGTCACTAAATCCGCTAAAAAACTTGTATATAGGGGTAGTTTAACATCCTGATTACGAATATGACATTCACTCTTGTCGCTGGCGCCAAGAAAGGACACTACGATTACCTCCTGAGGCTCAGCTTAGCAGAGCGCAGGTAATCGTAGTGTCATCCATTAGCGCCAGCGGCAAGAGTGAATGTCATATTCGTAATCAGGATGTTAAACTACCCCTATATACAAGTTTTTAGCGGATTTGGTGACTTAGGCAATTTAAAAATGAGCTCGGTGCCGAAATTTCTGGAGTCCAAACGGCATTAGCTTTGGTTTACACCACAGTATTCTCCTGAGATTAACGAGGTCTACAAGATCCTCTTTCAAGCTCCAATTCCTGAAAAATGGATAGTATTTAGCGCTGGAATGTGCAAAGAAACGATCAGGAGTCAAAGAGGTGAGAGTGTTTTGGCATCCTACACTGTCCCCACCGCGTGAAGCGTGGACCCGGCCATTTCTGTGGTCGAGGATTTCTCCAAATGGGTTAGAGTTAAAACGAAACTTCCTAACTCGGGTGCGTCTGCACGAAGTATCCACACTGAAGGCGAAAGTGGCCGGGCTCGCACCACTGACGCTAAAGCGTCCACCAGTTTTGCGCGCGCGCTGGAGCTTACTTGAAAGGCAGTTTCACTTTACGCGAAAATGATGTTCATGTTCAAGGGCGCGGGGGGGGGGCGAGAGGGGATCTCGCCGTATCTGGTTTCTTGAAGTTTCCGGAGCCAGCGCCTGAGCCAAGCGATTCCAAGCACGCAGTATGCGACATTATATTTCCAGTCGTTGACTTCTATCAGAATTTCCTTTTCACGCATGCTTGTCACCCTATTCCCTCCTAGATCCCCCCTTGACGGCAGTTTTTCCAGGAGGAGAAAGGGAAGAATGCACGGTAATTTGGGGGTCGCATTTTGTGAAGGTTTTTTCCACAACGCGCTTTGTCTATAGTGCGGGATTTAACTTGACGATTGAGAAACCGGAAGTGATCCCCTGCTACTGCCTTCACACCTTGCGAATCCGGAGAATCAGTGAATTGCGGAATTGAGAGGGTCATAGAAGCCACGAAAATGAATGGACTTTTATCGATCTGGAAAACTGGCCATATGGTCTAAAATACCTCGAAAGAGTTGCACCAAATGGCCCGATGTATTGGGCTAGCGTCACATATTGCAAAAAAATATATCGTCAAATCAATCGACCATCTCAAATGTTCTTACCTTCCTATGAATATGATGAAATGTGTTCACATAAGATCCGCCACCAATGAGGCCTTCATAAAGAATGATGGCACACACCATTCCAAAATGTGGAATAAATGCGTAGATCGCGTTGAATGTCAAGAAAATCGTGTTCATCAACTGAATTAGGAACAATTGATTTTACACGGGTAAGTTAGAAATCACTAAACAATTCTGGAAAGACGTCAAACGAGTGGCGCATTCTAAGGAGTCCGATCGACTTCTACTCCCATTTCCACCCAGCTTCCCGGGGAACACGTTGAGACATGAGTGCTATACCTGTGTGGACTTGCACAGACAGCGCTGAACGCATCAGATCTTGTCAGTACATGTTAACGAAACTCTGGTCTCTCTAGTTTCGAGTACAATCAAGAGTACTATCTGCACTAGCAAGCCGCGCGATATAAGGCGCACAGCTGATGTAAAAACTGAGCGACGGCGCCGCTTTGTCCTTTAAAGACCTTTTCGAGGTAAATAAAAGGTCCTAACCGCTCTTTGAGCGCGTTCGGGCTCCAAATTTTGGGTAGCCATCCCAGGATGGCAATAACCTCCACAAAAAAGCCCAGATGGTTGTGCTGTCGACGAATAGGCAAAGGGTTTTCAGTAATCACATGCAATCGACGCCCATTCGCAAAGGCACGAAGCGCGCCCTTTCCCACCGCCCACACCACTTGGCACGCACAAATTCCGCTGAACTCCATCAATCCTCCAGAGGCTGAGTCACAGCCAGTCGCATGGGTGGGGTCAGGTCGTGGCTTCTTTATTAGCGCGCCCCTCCTCTTCATGGCAATCGGCAGAGTTCGCGACCGAAAATCGCGGGTTAGGGGTCGGAAATAGAGATGTCAAAGGGCCAAGAACTACAGTAGCGGAAAGCATAGCTGAAAAACCCTAGAAGATCCTCGAAATAGGGCTTTCTTCGACCAATTCTGATGACGTCGCGATCAGGGTAGGGTGGGGGTGTCGAGAGGAGCAGATTGAGCCTGCCTTTGACTGCCTTGTTCCGCCAATTGTGAATCGTGAAGGCTCGATATAGGGAAAAGTAACCACTGATGGGAATGTCTCGATTGAGCTCATTCTATCTTCAATGAAACTGCCCAAAAAGATCGCGACAATATCAACTGTACTTAGTATGAGGAAACGGCTGGGGGGGGGGGGGTGGCGGTGGGAGAGGCGCACAGGGACAGAAGGTCGACACTGGCATTTCCCTCCGAAATGACCTATTCGGGATCAGTTGCGTTTTACACTTGTAAGGATCTACAGAAGCATTCACTCACTTGAAGCAAAGGCATCAACGCTATTAAAGTCATGTTAAACTGGATGAGTTTCAGCGATGAACGCGATATGAACGCACCCATTTGATACATCACCTGAACGCATGAATTGTAATGGCACTTCAATAGAAATAGAAACTTCAATATGACATTTTCTGAAGGGAGCGAGTTCACGGCGCGAGCTCATGGCCACAGACGTATTATCCCCGTCGTTTTGCGAGGGCAACTCGTCTAAATTACTAAACTGCGAGCTTCTTCTGAAGGGATTAGTGGGAGGCGTCCTGACCGAGGGGAGGTAACGCCAAAGCTATCGTTAACTGCTTCATAAAAGTTCCTATTATAAGAAAATTCGTAGTATTGTGGTTCGTACGAGTTATCCGTCTTGGAGGACGAGTCACCCCGGCACGTCAGTGACCGCATGATTGCAACATTGAACCGTTTCCGTTCTAGACTAGCAAAACCCACCTGATACCACCGATATTGGCTTGCTGGACTGGTACCGTAACCATGAGAGCAGTCGAATACGGTAAGTTCAAGCTGAAAAGATGTGAAAGGTTGGCTCTGATTGAGATACCTCAGCAATACATACACGATGGGACCCTTTTGAACACTGGAAACCATTTTAAACTGACTTCTCCACAACAGTGCCATATGTTGGGACAGAGCTGAGCTGCCCGTTTTCGCTTTTCCCTACAGAATGGAGAGCAGCCAATTTTCCGGGTTCTCCCTAACTGAGTGCGGGTTGGGCGCAGGAGACTTGCGAGTGCGGGTGCTGGTCAGGGGCTCCCCAGATCCGGCGGCACGGCACTGAAGGTGGCGTTACGTGAGCGGCACTTGTACAAGGACTTAATCGATTCAGTGGCGGAATTGTTTCGGTAGCTCGTGTCAAGCAGCCAGAAAATCCCACAGTTAATTTCGCCGCAAAAGACTCCGCATTGTACGAAAACTTACCAATCCTTGATTGATGAGATATTCGGCGACATAAACGAGAAACATGGGCACCATGTACTTCAGCAATTTCTGAAAAAGATGGTAGGGTAGACGAGTAGAGTGGGCTCGGTCTAATAGAGCTATATGCCCCCCCCTACACACCATCCTCGAAGCAGTATTTTTTTGTCTTCGACATACCTTAACGGTCTTCAGTTGTTCCACAAAACTGAGCTGAGAGTGGGATTCTATACTTGCAACATCGGCAGTGCTGGGTGGAGCCTTTATCTCGGCCTGGCTGAAAAATAACAAAATCAAAAAAATCAAATTTTGATGGCAAATATGTGACTCCGTCGTCTCGTGGCCACTTTAATCTCATGATACGCTCAAATTCAGTTGAAGTGAAGTTTAATGAAAATGATGAAAGTGTGGTAGTATGACTTTCAGCTCATCCCAAAGGGGCTGAAAGTCTCTCAGAACAAGTTTTCTCTAGTAATTGTTCTACTGAATTACCTGCTCATAAACCACTCGCTCGGCCGGATCACGCTAATTTTTCTGATAGAAGGAGCCCGTACCAGAACAACGTAGTATCTGAAAATGAAAGCTCCTGCACTTCCTTCCACAACATAACACCACAAAAACTCGATGAACATGTGAAATTGTTCCGAGCGGATCGGGTCCAGTTTCTCTCTTCGTGAAACCTCGTCGCATATTTCTACAATCGACAGTTAAGTCGCGTCAAAGCGGTTGACACACGTGGAACTCCTTATGTTCGTACACTAGGAAAAGGAGCTTTGGCAGGCATGGAGTGTGCATATCTCAACGAGCCAAACTTTAGGACTTCGAGGACGGAGGCTAGTCAAAACTTAGGCGATTCCAGTGAAATGAACACCCACTAACAACCCTCTTGGGCCCACAGTAAAGTAAACCTCCCGAAAGGAATCAGGTTTAGAGCGATGAGAGCGTAGAAACAACAAGTTCTCTACGCGGCAGAGGCCGACTAGCTGATATACGTTCACAGTCGTCGACGAGTGCAGGATGGGTAAAATGAGCTTGCCTTGCCGGAAGCATTAGCCAAACAGATCGTGATGCGGGTCAGCGAGATCCGAGATGGGCCACAGCTCAGAGCTGGTGGCGCGCGCAGTTCTCCTAGCTAGTTGCCTCGACATCACTAGGTTTACGTTCGAACTCCTGCTTCGAATCAGGGTCTTGGATGCAAATGACATCGCGGCACGCCGATTTCCAACACCGGTAAGTTCTTTTACGCCAGCCTTTGGTCTCCTGACTCACACTCAAAAATAAATGAAGTTACACATAGCAAAAGAAAGACTGACGATGAACGCAAAGAGTCGGCCGCCGACGACGAAGCATGGACCGAGCATTGCTGAGTGGAGTGACTCGCAGACAGAACGAGCGTACCGTCAGGACCTGCATAGGAGAATGGCACTGGCCAGTCGGCCATACGGTTCACTGATGCACACATGTGGCTATTGTAAGTTCCTGCAAGCATCTGCTCGATGCATTTTCCGACGTTTCACAACGTCTGATAAATCCACAGTAGCTTCAGGCATAATGATACGACGTGAAAAACACTTACAAATGGCCATCAGTCGCCTTGTACTGCCCCAACACATCGAATGCAGCACGCTTCCCAACTGCTTTCTTTCTCTGTGGACAAATTATCGTCGTTCGAAATATTGTACTTCTGGCGGTAGTTGACCTCGACTGAATCAACGATGGTGCACATCGTTGGCCCCAAAACTTACTAGCCTGCCGTGTACAGACGTAGTGGATTGGTACATCTTTGGCGCCAGGCGCCTTGAGACGCGGGCGCCAGTAGACCTTTCCGGCGGGGTCAAGGGCGACGGAGCGGATGTGGCTAGATTCGAGGTTCAGGAACGGTCACACTGCATCCAGAAGACAAATTTTTAGCCAATGCCCACGGAGCAAGAAGTCGCCGTAAAAACTTCTAGCGGATAATTGGACAGTTAAAAGGGTAAATGGGTGCCACCAAAACTTTGTTGGTTCTTGTTATCAGTAAACGGTAAGCGCGGGTTAAAGTGAGTTCTGATAATCACTGATAATCAAATGGTGATCTTGCATATAGCGGAATCCTTCAAAGGCTACCGAGGATCTAATACACATTGGTTACAGCGCCATTCTTCATCAACCGGATTTCTCTCCTCTGTTAATCAGTATTATCAGCACTGCCAAGGCGTGTTAGAGGAGGACGATTTTGAGCCAGTCGAATGAACTGTTTTTTTTCTTCTTAATACTGCAAGCGCAATGGCAGATTACCGGTTGCTGCTCAGGAATAATCGGGATTTCCATGTGCTCAGAAAATTTCGCCAGATTCATACGAAGAAAGTCAACGGTTTTGCGCATATCACCTTGGTTCGTATTGCTTGTTAGTTTGGGTACTGCGATCTCGGAAGACCTCTCCTGCAGTGACAACACCGTGACCTCTCCGCACTCACTACGAACAGTTTTCGCATAAGGATGCCGGATCTGGCTCCTGGAGTTCCCTCCCGATTACATTGGCCGCCAAAACAGCGCCGGCGCAGCACTGGAATGTGCGCGACGGGTGTTGCTTTTATCGAGGTTTTTGGGCCCACAAAAAAACTGACCTTTGAGTAGTGACCGCCGTCAACGCAAGGTAACGTTGGTCTCCGCAAATCCTCCAGCCACAGGACGCCACGGCAGACACCAATGAGAGCGAGCTGGCACAGACCTCAGCGCAAACGCAGTGCCAACAAAGACGTCGCCTGTAGCGCACAGATGACGAAGTGTCGTATTCTGAAAATAGATTCAATGATTTTGACGTATTAGGTGAGCCTACATAGTACAGATTTTCTACTAGTCTCGCCTGGACGGTTAATGTGGGCACTTATCTTGTTGGACGCCAATTACGCCACCAATTTGGCCGGCCCCCTCCTGTTCGTGCCTGAGACATTCGACATGAGTTTGGCATAAGCTGGAGTTACCACAATCAAAAATTACTTGCCCAAGACGCTCGGGCAAAGGGCGCAAAAGTATAGCAAGCCTCAGGCTGCACTGTGTCGGTGGGTGAGGGTAGCGGTAAGCCTGGACCGCGACGGGAACCAGACCTCCTCCTAGGCTCAGCGTTAGCAGGAGCGCTTGATGAAGGGTATGTCAATATACACGTGATCAGATCGTACAACTGACTCCAGAAGTGAACAGTTGCAGCGAACTTGGCGGAAAAACGTCAAATAAATTTGCGGTAGGTATTTGAAACGTTTTTTGTCGACTTTCACTGGGAAAGCGGGCGGTCGCCAAAATGAACAATCATGGTCGTGGTCATGGTGTCCGTATACAGTTCCTCATCATTTGGGACGGTGCGGGCCTGTCAGTGACGGGCTCTGACCTGCGTTTGGCGCAGAAGGTGCCAGAGTCGTATGCTGCACAACTGTTGAAGCGGGCAAGTTCACATTACTCAACCTCCTATACCTTCAGTATTATCGCTTTCTACCACTTTTTGTCGCATACGCGTTGCACAAAAAAGGCTGAGAACGGCTTTAACAGTGTGCACACTCATACTGGCTGGCACGCCCCACCGGTCCGCAATGATGAGGACTGTTCCCAAACGTTCGGCAAAGGGCGCAAAAGTATACACTCGGCTTGCCTGTGCCTTGCTAAGGGTAGCGCTAAGTCTGGACGAAGGGAACCAGACCTCCTCCTAGGCTCAGCGTTAGCAGAGCGCTGATGAAGGGATGTCATATCCGTGATCACGATCTACAATTGATTCCAAATGAACAGTTGCAGCGAATTGGCGGAAAAAGACGCCAAATAAATCTGGTATGAAAGTTTATGTCGACTTTCCTGGAAAAGGGGGGGGGGACGCCAAAGAATGAACATCATGGTCGTGGTCAAGGTGCCGTATAACCACATGGTCGCAGTTTTATCAAAAAACCTGAGACTTTTGACTTGTACTAGTCGAATAGTGCCTTTTTATGTGTCTTCACGACGAAAGCTCTCCTACTGCGTTTTTCATAGCAAAATACTTCACTTACCCATATGGAATCCGATGCATGACGAAAGGACACAGCAGTTTCACCAGAAGGGCTGGAACGATATTGCATAGCAGTACGACGCCGGCAGACGTTGGCGAGCAGATACGAGATGTGATTTCGGGCTTCAATAGTGCAGATTATTTCAGAAGAATCGTGTAACAACGAGGATTTTTCTGGTCTGCGCTGTGTATTCAACTTCTGCTCCAAACAATTAGTGTATTGAAGTGGACGTTGGCCCAAAACTACAGTTCACAGGCTAAATTATGCTCAAATTTAACGATTCTAGCGAGTGGGAGTTTGACTGCTCGTCTGCCCGCTCCCATCAGAATGGTAATCCTTCTCCACTCCCGCCCTCCCCTTATCCCCCTCCCACTCCGAATTCTCAGCCTTATAATTATAGAGGGCAAAATGACCAGAGAGAGGGGAAAGTGCCTAATGAATTTTAGAAACTGAAAAAAATTGAGCTGACTTACTATGCAGAAATCGGTTACATTATGCTCATACGGTGATCGCTCGTGCCGATTAAGTATATCCTGAGCTGCGCTTAACATCACACTGAACGTGAAATTATTGCACATACCGAATATCCTGGAAGTAAATAGTTGGTGTATAGAATGAACTATAAAGAAGAGAAACCTCACAGAATTTTGCTCTTGCTACTTTGAATAAAATTTCTAATTTTCTTCCAGCCTGCGGAGAAGAGGGGGGGGTCACGGATAACGGCAGCACGACGTGCGTTATACACATTTTATGGGCCGCTTCTGATATCCTATTTTCCGCTCGTCGCCGCCAACCGAATCTCCTGTCCCACAGTTCAGCATATGTCTATACAGTTTTGATGGTGCTTACTCTTCAAATTGTCGGGCCGTTTACAGTAGAAGAGGCGAAACTGGAACTTTTCAGTCCATATGTTTGTCCATACTGATTCTGCGAGTAGAATACTCACCAACCGCTTCAGAATTCCCTTTACTGGTAGGGTTTTCGACAAGGGAAGGTCTGGGTAACAGAGCAAAAGCCCTAGACCACGTATGCATAACTCTCTCTAACATACACCAAGTAACTTCAGCAAGATCAAGATTTGGGAGAACTCATTTTCTGCAAGGAAAATCACCATTCATCGCTCGGGCGGGGTCACGCCCACTACCGCTTCTTTCTTGATGCCCCTTACTTCTTTGAGTTGAGAGGATGTCGGGGAGGTAATTGCATGCCCGACTCCGCTCATGCCCTTAACCACACGCTCAGCGTGGATTGCGCTTCTTTCTAATGGTAAGAAAGGAACCGCTCTATCTGCGAGAATACCTCCATAACATATTTTTGTATGAAAACCGTAGTACTCACCAAAATGAGATCATATTTCTAATATCAGTCCTGGTTGTTGTACTTTTACCATCATACGTCATCGCTAACTGAAATGAAGCTCACATGATTACATCATGGAAAACAATGAATGCACTGTCACGATCCCTGCAAACGATGGGGCGTGTGGCGGGGCGTGGATTGGAGCACTGCCAAGGTAATCTTTACTGCAAATGATGCTATACTGAGTCCGCAACACTAGGCGGGAAGAGCTGTCTTGGTTGCGATCCGGTTCACGCCTTTTAACCCTCGCCATTGTTCTCAGGGATCACGTCAACGCTTCCAAGCATAGACGGGCGTGTCGAGGATGTACACTCGAAACAAGAGATGATCAGAATGCGGTAAAAACTTTAGCACGTCAAATGGAAGGAGATCACAATAGCTGAAAGCATAGACGAGCCATAGAAGTAATTCAGTCAGATTATTTCATTCAAAGTGATGAAATGAATGGGTCATACCGAGCCATCCAAGCCTTTAACCAGTTCAGGATTGTCCGTTTTCTGCCTGGTGAATGCCTTGGTCGGGCGACCTATGGTGGATGCTCTAACACGGCTCCGGAATCGTCCATCGGTGGCAGAGCACATTGTTAGCTGCGCCGCCTCACGATAGACCTCATCGCACGTCCCCCTTGCCCTATATGGATTCTTGTCTCTCTAAAAAAGAATTGGGCTGCGGTCACCAGCTGTGTCTGGGAGGGCAAAAGCAAGAAGCAACTGCTGGCCAGATTGCACAAGCCGTAGGATAGAGAAAAAACACAGTCAATAATGCCATATTCGGAATGCTAATCAATGCAAGGTGTAAAAAGAGCAAAAGAAACCTGTGATTTCGACAAAAAAATCGTTGAATATCTTAGCGATTTCACAGATAGATTCCAGTGGAGATTTGACAGAGTTCGGTTTGGTGGGGGCACCGAATGTTTATCAGCTATTCTTGCACAGGATAACTTGTGAAGACGTGGAAACTCCTGTGACCAAAGTGGCTCAGTCGAACAATTTCGTATCTTTACAGGAGTTTACAGATCTGACTTAAACGACACTCATTAGTTGACATGAGCCGGCAAAAGGAACTAACAAAAGTGCAAAATGCTCTTTCCGAGCCGAACAGCGCTCGCCTACGCAGACGGCACTGGTTTTAAATAGACAAACAAGTTCCTGTAGTGAGATAGAGTCCGTGATAGAGATGCGGCGAAGCGATTGGGTTTGTCAGCAGGCGAAGAATAAACCCACTCGCTTATGGCTTTCTCAAAAAAGTGGCCGTGGTGGACTCGTTCCACGCCTCTTGACATCCTACATCGCTACGCCGAGTTGCGCTATATTCCCATGTCTTTGCAACTACTCATGCGTCTACAGATGTATGTCATGGCGATGTTTGTTGCAAGTACAATAGCTGATTTTGAGCAATTCTCAAGTCTTCGAGAGGAACGGTGGTTGTACAGGGTAGAGATTCTGTGTTAGCAAGTGGGAACCCTTATACGTGCGTATAAGGAGCGGTATTGAAACCTCAGATCGGCTCCCTCCCAGGTCAACTGAGCCTTCCTCACTACGGCAAGATTCGGGAAGAGTAAATTGGCAGCAGATTTGAGAGGATGAAGCCCTGACTGGACTGACTGGCTGGACACCGCAATAATTTTACAGGGCCATATTGCAATCAAAAAACCACTGCAATTATTTTTGCCTGGTCATCTCCAAAAAGAGCGCGGTAGGCTTGGTGGAGGCACCGAGTGGTACACAGCTGAACTAGTAGAGGCCAAGTTGTGAAGCCTGAGCCCACCAAACTGATTTGCTCACGCCATTTCGCAGCTTCACAAGAGTTCACAGATGCCACCAAAACGAGACTGGTTAGTTAACACGAACCAACAAAAAAGACGAACTCAAAATGCCCCCTCGAAATCAAACAGCACCCACGAACATCCTGATCAACGGTGAATATTCCATCATTTTATCCTTCACTTGACCAAAAGATCATAAAAATGAAACTGGATACATGTAAAACGTATGTTGCAGCGATTATGGACTAAAAACCAACTAATCGCCGAATTATTGTAGATGTATCGAACCTTGTTGATCCGAAAAATGTAATAACACCGGTTCGTCACTAACAAGCAATGCTGTCAGTGCCTTTATTCGTCTATTTTTGAAATCGTTGGTTTCTGCGCTTGTGGGCTTCGAAGTTGATACTGTAGCATTGGAAACATTTGGCTATCATCATCGGTCACCGTATTCTGGACACCTAGCTATCCGTAGTTCCACGTTTTTTTTACGAAAATATCAACACGAAATTACTGCCAGAAAGGACTGCTGCATTCAAATGGGTGGTAACTCCATCTCTCCGACGTTACACAAAGGCAGACGAGTACATGTCGCATGCCCAGGTCTACGGTAGCTGCACAGTGAGATCAGGGCGCTGTTTGTCGACGGGGGGGGGCATTTTGTACTATCATTGCTTCCCTAGTTCCGGTTTACAAATCTCACTCTGGTAAAACTTGTGAAGCTGAAGCAAGATCGTCTAGCCACTATCCTAAAACGTGTCAACTCGAGAAACGGCTACCTAGATGGGTCGACACATCTATGGAAAGCAAAATGCCCCCCCCCGTCGACAAACTGCGCCTGAGATCGTATCCTTCTGGATCATCCGAGGAAAGCATAATACAGGGAAAACTTCAAATTGTTCCTTATTTCTAGACAAAAATAGACAAGCAATAAACGCGAACAAACCACAACAAGCGCTAGCGGCAGAAATATCTATCACTCAACTCGTACAAC